AGTGATGATTCTTTCGGTCGTCCTTTGTCTCTGTTGTTCCCAGTTGGAGCCCAGAGTTGGCCCAGAAATATTTTCGCAATTTATGTGGCTTTGATTTCATTCGGAGGCCCAGAGAAGGCAATTTATGGTAACTTGATAATTTGTGTTAGCATTTGCCGGGCTCTTCCCTCTAGAGAGGGGGGGGAGACAAAGAGGGAGATATGCAATTTATGCGGACTGCAATTGCAATCGCCTGCTGCAGGGGACAGATTACACAGAAATATTGGGCAGTATTGGGATCCAATGAAGAGTAAAGTTGGTCCTTAATGGAATTCAGAACAATGCCAGTACATCGCTTGTATTTGCTCAGGCATTCAATCTGTTCCACTTTCTTTACTTTCTTTCCATCTGGCTTATGATTGGCAGTTCCTGCTTCCTGCAACATCAACTCTTTCTGCAATTGCTAAGCAGTTTACTTTCCTTTCCTTTGCTCCGATTCATTCATCAAAAACCGTGCACTTAACACATGGCAAAGGCAAAGGCAAGGAGCTGGAGGGGAAAGGGAAGGGAAGGAGCTGCTGCTGCAGCAGCCGCCGCCATTGAGCATTGCCTCATTCTTTGGTAATGCACATAAATCCTTAGAGTGCGCACTTAACTCCTTTTTATGCTGCGACAAAGTACATTTACTAATGACCAAGTCAAACAATGGCCATGGCCGAGACGGGCCGGGCCGGGCCTTGGACACCAGACATGAGCAAAGACCTTGGGGGGGGGGGACTCATGAGGAGTCCTGGGGGAGGGGTACTGGGCCACGAAGTAGCAATTTACGCGCTCAAGACGGCACCAAGAGGCAAGATGGTGACAAAGCACGCCAAACGAGGGTCGAGGGGGGGCGGAGGGATAGGACTAGCCCAGCAGTCCTGCCCCGAGCCTCAAGTGTTGGCAGCGGCTGCATGTTAATTGTTGCAGCGACACCAGAGGCAGCGGCAGGGGGCAGCGAAACAGTGGGAAAGCGTGTCTAAATAGCGGAAATTCTTCCCATACACTCACTCCCTCGCACACCGGAAATCCTTCCTGTGCGCCGTAGTACCTGTCGATACTGAAAAGCAGCTTGGAATGCTGCCGCCGGACCCCTACCATACCCTGTACCCCGCACACTAAAAACATCTCAGGAATTCAATACGAATTCCGTAACGAGTTCGGTTTGGCATTTTGAACCAAGTTTTCTGGCCGGATATTTGTGCATTTCGCCCGATTTCTTAGAAAGTTACGAACTTACGCTATTGCAGAGGGAATACTGTAAATAATTCTTTTTGTTTTTAAAGTTTAACCAAAAAATGGGCGTACTTTGGGGTGTTTTTAAAAGCAACTAAAAATAAATAAATACAAATTTTAGGGCCTAAATCATGAATTTTGGTATTTATTGGTGATTATTTATTTTTAGTTGTTTTTGAAAACAAAGCAAAGAATGTTCGTTGCAGCAATAATATTTTTTAATATTAATATTAATATTAATATTTAAAACTGAAATAAAATATTATACAAATAAATAAAACAAATAAATAAAAATAATAATATAAATAAAATAATATAAATGTAAATATAAATAAATAAAATAAAATAAATAAATAAAATAATTATAAATAAATACAAATAAAATTTAAAAAAATAAATCTTGTATAATATTTCAATAATAGCACCAACATTAAACTGTTTCAATGCCACTCCACCTATTAAGACCTTTAAAGAAAAGTCTAGACATTTCTGAGTAGATTTTTAAATTCGAGCAAAATTGTATTCTTAAATATAATGGGATCTATTATGGGGTGTTCTATTATTATCTCAATCTGCAATAGGCTTATAGATGACCGCTCACACCCGATAAATCATAAATTACATAAATTATCTACTCTATATAATTTCCTCCCTCAAATTTAAAGATCGGGTGATGTTTACAGGCGTAGACGTTTCCAAGAATGTGTTCATGTTTGATTTTAAGTGATTTTAATCCCCAAATATACCCATCCACCCAAAGTTATATAAACAAAATTATTATGGACCATATAGAACGTCTTTAGGGACGTTTTTCAAGCGCACTCTTCAACAGGATATCCACAGGATGCGTACTAAAAGTGTAGCCAAAGCCAACGCCAACGCCCACGCACAGGCAGAAAATGCAAATTTCACTTTGGCGCCCAGTTTAAAATGTTGATGAAGTAATTAGTGTAATATGCGGAATGCCTCTGCCCCCCTCTGTGTGTGTGTGTGTGTGTGTGTGGGAGAGGGCGTGGCACATAGAAAACTGTAATTGAAAAACGCACAACTTTGGCCAGGAGGCCAGGACAAAGGGCCAAGCCAATGCCGAGGGTAAAGTCGAGGGCTCGGGCACTGAAACTTTTTCCATTTATTAAATTTGCCACATGAATGACGCTCTGGATTCTTGCAAGAGTACAAGATATACATACGTACATACAGCTGCGCCGAAAAAAATAGCACCAGTGGACTAATGTGTCTATATTGACGGATTTTGCTTAAGCAATGGTTCTAATGAACGTTGTTAAGACTAATATATAAACTTTATGGTATAATTTATCGTATCCCAGAGCACTGGTATAATTTGTAAAGTCCAAGTAAGAAAATTTGAAAAGAATAGGATTTTATCAGAAATTTGGGCACCAACAAAAATAGCACCAATTTACAAAGAAATCAAAAAACTTTAAAATGCAAAGAAACTTTCCAATTTTTTTTGTAAAATATGTTAGTTTAGTTGTATTTAAAGGTTGGCGTTTTGTTGTAAAACCTTTGGCAGCAACAACAGCAGCCCAGCATATCGGCATTAAAGCTCACCTAATTTTCGCATATTTCCCGTGGGATATTGATCCACGAACCATGCAGGATGCCCCAAACATATTTATTGTTCTTTGATTCCGCATTAGAAACATATTTTTTAACTTGATCCAAAATATTAGCAATGGGGTTCAAGTCTGGAGACTGAACAGGCCAATCTATTGCATTAAGTGAATTGTGCTCGAACCACTTTCGAGCTTACTTTCTAGTTCGTTTTGGGTGATTTTCCTGATGGAAGTTACAAAACAACTCTATTTCGTATTCTGCATAAAGCAGAATCACTGTTTCTTTGATATTGACATAGACATGTTGATCCATAATGGGTTTGTGCCATGTATTGGGTCACCTGCCTAGTACGAAAATCATGCCCATACGATCTTGCTTGCTTTTCTATGTCTAATGAATTTACACGTGAGTCAGGGGGTTGTATTCTGCATTCGGTAGTCGTTTCAAACAAGAACAAGACCCTTTTACACCAAAAATAAATGTTGGCTTTAGTCGGACCACAGGATGTTTCTCCATTTTCGTTGGCCCAACTTTAGTGCTATTTTGCACACCAAACTTTTTTTGCCCCATGCCTTTCCGTGAAAAGTGGAATTTTCCTCCTACTACGAGTACCCATTTTACGTTCTTGTATACAAGATCTAACTTTCCTGGTACCTGACGATTTTTTAAGATCCTTGCTTTAGCTCTGTGGCCGACGTAAATGGGTCCTCCTTGCTCTCACGAACCAGTAGTTTTACCAGAAATGGGAATATCGCGGCCTTTCTTCCACGTGTTTCTTGTTGGAAACATATTTCAAAGCATTGCTAATCATTTCTTTTGAACAACCGACAATTTGCCCCACCTTAGCATAGGTCCTGCCTTCTGAAATGAAAGTTTTGATCCTTTGGCTTTTTTCCTCACTTTAATGCTTTCCAAGACCCATAACTACTTAAATTTTGTAACTTTCTTGTCACAATCACCTAAAGCCACCGATTTTTCATTCAATCAAGAACTTAAAATATCAAGAAGCTCAGGAAAGTAGAAGCTTTTACATAAAACAGTTACTGGTGCTATTTTTGTTGGTGCTCCATTTCGCTCCTCTTTCGCAAAATTGCCTAATGTTATAAGAACCGTTAGAATTGAGAGAGTAAGCACACTTCTGTCAGAGAGGAGACATATAAAGCTACATTATATTGCAGTAAAGTCCAGCAAATGTTGGACAGTGGTCTTGTTTTGAACGAATAAAGACGGTCGTCCCTACTGGTGCTATTTTTTTCGGCGCCACTGTATGTATATGGGAAATGTTTAATTAATTGTGCGGCACATTTTTGATTAAAATTGCTGCTTATTTTTCGAGCCCTCGTTCTGGTTATCAATTTTGCTAGATTTAAAAAAAAGTTTACCAATTTAGATACGGTTCGGGACGAAACTTTGGGACTTTGGCTGAATATCTCCATTTCTGGTTTCAAGTTTTAAAATATAGGCAATTAAAGGAGTTAATTGATTATATGGTTATATAAAATTAACTCAATTTAACAAGTAAATATTATATATTTAACATTTGCTTTGTGGGCTCCTAATATTATTCACAGTGTATTCTTAGCTGTGCCTTGCGAAATGTTTCGCCGTGTTTTCTTGCCTGCTTGTTGCTTCTTTGCGATTTACCGTTTGTTATTGTCCCATGCCTGACCGATTGCTTTACATGCTTATACTCGTCCGCTGCCTGTCCCAATGCTGCGTAGGTGGGAGTGAGAGAGTGCGTAGCGAGAGCGACAACTCGCTCAGAGAGGATCAAAAGCGACAAGAAGAAGAGAGCGCGCCTTGAGCGTGTTCTTCTGCGGGAATGTGGGTGGGTTAGAAAGAGAAAGATGCGACCATTGCAAATGCGTCGCAGAAAATTAGTGTCTCAGATACTCAGAGTAGTAGCGCAAAAATGAGTCAGGAGAGCGTTGGACCCACGTCGTTGCCGCTCGGAGAGATTTGCGAAAGCCCGACGGTGGATTAAGATTTAAACGTAAAACCAACATTTGTATGCAATCCTGAATAGATTTTTTCCACAAAAATGTTTCTTCTTAGTTGAAGCAGGCCTTTTTCCATAAGTTTTCAGTAATGTTTCAATTTGGTTTCAAATACACAACACATTTTGATTCACACCCACACTAACACAACACAAAAACACATTTTTTGTTTACTTTTTCCCGTTTTCTTTGGGTTTACTAAAAGGTAATTGGATTATGGACTGATATCTTCACCGTAATGCCTAACCTAGACCGTTTTAGTAGTCATCATGAGCCTCCTGGGGTTCCACTCTTATGGGGAGTATGTGGACCAGTTCATAACTCTCAATGACGTTCGGTATTTGCGAAACTGGAGCTTCCAGCGGAAATTGATACAGAATGCCTGCGGGAAGAGCTGCCTGGGCGGGCTGCTCACCGAGGAGGAGTACAAGGATCGTCGCCAGAAGGAGATGGACATGCTGAAGCCGCGGGGTCTGGGCGGGCGGCAGCTCTTCGGCGACTACTTGAACAACAATGACCGCGTGCTCAGGCAGTTCGCCAAACGGGAGAAAATGCTGCTCAATAAGCACTTGTCGGTGAGTGATGGACTAAATGATTCCCTGGAATCATCTGGAAACCCCCACCCCCACCCCACAGACCATCGTCTACCTGTTGATGCGCTCCAGCGTAGGCCTGGAGGTGTCGGGCTTCATCGATCTGGAGCAGAGTCTGCGCGAGTCGCGGTTCCTGACCGGCTCCAAGTACTTCGTGGACTGGAAGGGCGTGTTCGAGGGCACGGTCAAGCTGAAGCCGGGCAAGCACCACCTGAGCCACTACAACTGGTACAAGAACCGGGTGGTGTACAACGACAGCGACAACTTCCAGGTGGTCAACGAGGGGGCCCACAGCCTGCTGATGAAGCACCGCGGCGACCACAAGATGATCTGCGTCAACGTGGGCTGCGACTGTCCCGCCTCGAAGAACGCCCGACGGACGATGTACGCGTCGCCCATCTACGGCCACGCCATATTCTTCGATCACATAATCCGGCGCATCAATTAACGTGTCAATAAAACGCAATTACGGGTAAATGCGGTTAAAAATTAAGCCCAAAAAGATACTCTATGCGAGAGCCGTCCACACGACTGCAGATCGGGATGGGTAGCCGGGCCTTTATGGAGTTTTATGGCCTCGGGGTTGGAATTTGTCGTTGACAGTTAACGTAAATTGCTTTTCATATCTTATCAGCCGTGGTCCGAGGCCTGGCCACAGCTACGAGTATGCCTGCTGACGTTTTTGATGGACATTTTGAGGTCCTACCCGGTTCGGAGCCCCCCCTCCCACCTCCCCCCTAACTGGACGTCAGAAAGCGGAAATTACCCGAGCTCCATGGCATTTTGTTGTGTTTATGGTGGACTGGAGGCACTTCAATTGCATAAATCTATTAACTGTCGCCTGGCTGTTGGCCTGGCCGACTGTCTCGAGTGTCGACGCCTCCGGCCTCGCACACGCCTCCCACACGCCTCCCACACGGTTTTGTTTGCCCATTTGCCTTTGTTTGTCCCCGGCTTTGTTTCGGCCTGTCGTTCCAACAGTCACTCCATCGGTCTAACGGTAAACTTCAAGTGGTTTGTTGACTGGCCAACAGCTCATTTGCCCGCCCAGCTTACGTCCAACAATCGTACCATTGTCCCCCCCCCCCCCCCCACTACATGAGCATTTTCCATAATGTGGGGGGCCTCTGAGAGGCACCATGAATCCGAGGGAGAGTGTAAACCTTTCCCAGCGATAATCAATTAGTGAATAATATTTATTAATAGTAATTAATAAATTATTGGCAATTAAAGGGGACAAATGATTCGCAAAAACGTTACGATTTAATTTTGAAAAAAACACAAAAATTGTGGCTTCCGTTTAAGCAAAACGTTTTCGGAATGGAAACATAAATTTAATGTTTAAAATTTAATTGTGTAATGATGCTATTAGTTGGAAAATATTAGTTAAGACAGGAAAGTGGCATTTAAAATCAGGATTGAGGAATAATATGACACATTTTGGTACATTTTTCGTTGACATTTTTTTTTTAAATAATGCCATAAAGTCACGTATATAAAAATTAGCCAATCTTATAGAAAATTGATTAATTAATAGCATACAATTTTTTTAAATTTATTTTTATATTTTTATAAATTTTTTTATATTAACAATTTATTTTTCTTTTGAAAATCGCGATGGAAAAGCTCTTCAAACAGCCATAAACTGAAAAGTTACTGCTGTGCCTACATTGAAGTCCGGCACTGTATATTTAAAAATCAATTAATAATATAAATATGGTATACCAAAAGCTCAAAGAGTATAGGGATATATCAGGCTTGTGTAGGTCTGTCTGTCAATCCCGTTTGTACATCCCAATGAGCGCCTAGATCTCGGATTCTCTAAGAACTAGAGCAACCAAATTTGGTACCCACACTCCTAATATATCGGACCGAGACGAGTTTGTTTCTAAATTTCGCCACACCCCCTTCCGCCCCTACAATGGACGAAAATCTGTTGCATCCACAATTTTAAAGATACGAGGAAAGGCAAAACGCAGAATCGTAGAGAATGACCATATCTTTTAGAGCAAACAAACTCCTGTGATACAAGGGAGCACCTTTCGACCTCCAAAAAGGATCACAATTTGTGGGATCTGCAATTTTTCAAGATACGAAAAGAAACACCGAAAACGCGGAACCATAGAAAACAAAATGGAAAACATAATGTATGAGAACTCTACTTGAAAGTGGTTTGGAAAGGAATGGATTTCAAGCCATGGCAGATACATAGTTTCTATAGATATATCTTTATGATATTGCAATCTCTGGTATTGATTTGTAGGCCGTCTAGATAAAGCGATATGGATTGGCTCGGCAGGATCTCGAAACTTTTAGGTACAGTCGAGCTTCCATAGAGCGGATCTCAAGGGGATTTCTTTGCACGGAAGTTCGTAATAGAGAAGTTAATTTTGCTCTGGCTCGAACCCCTCTCTCTCCCAAAAAAAGAGTCCGTTTCGATGGGTACTTTCTCTACAACCTGAACGATATTTCTTATACGATATATTTATACTATTGGTATCTGCCACAGAGTGTATCGATGCTTCAACTAACACTAGATATCGCAATACCGAGCACAGTTCCAAGTTTAAACTATAAATCATGTATTTCTAGATCCGTCTTCCAATTACTTCCACATTTATAGAATTTATCTCCAGCACTCCATTATCTCGGATAAGTTTAAGCAAAACAACTGCATTATTGAGAGGGACATTTGCCAGAGCAAAGCCAAATAAATAATAGATTTATTTGCGTTCAAGTTATGTTTTAAATGCCAGCCGCAGTGGCAGGGGCAGTGGCAGGGGCAGGGGCAGTGGCAGGGGCACCTACCCGTAAATGCAGTACAATTTAATTTGCATAAACAATTAACTGTTAAATTATAACTTGCAGATTCACTTTGGTCCCTTTCTCGGGGCCAGCAACAATTCAATTAAAACAAACATCGAGAGTTCCAGCTGCAGCAGGTGCAAACGGAATATCCTGGCAGGACCTAGCCTAGAATGGGGGGGGAGGTCCAAATAAATATTTGCTCGGCTTGCCTTGGTCGAGTCCACAGACAGGACCGGGCAGGACCTGCCCCCAAAAACAACAAGGACTGCCGCCGCCTGGGCCTGCATTGAGATTACATTTTAGAGGCTGAATAAATTTCATCCGAAATAAACTTACAATTTACTGCCAGACTGCACACACAGCCGTGTGTGTCCTCTCGGACTAGGCCGAAAAGAAGAACAAATATAATTTCATTAGTCCCCTCGTTTCATGGTCCTTCAAACGTCAATCAGTCGTTTATGGAGTGTTTTCCATTTGTTATTTGTTATTGTTATTATTTTTAAATCCAATCTATGACTTGTGCCAGCTGCGGCTCTCGATGGCGGATAATTTAATTGGCCAAATGTGCAAACAATAAGCCCAATGAATAATTAAAAAGCTTGTTGAATGAATGTCAAAGAGCTCGGGGCAATGAATGAACAGGCAGCAAGCCAAATAATCCTTCAAAGGGATATTATGGCATACAAATTCGACCCAAATTTCGCTTATATTTAGCCCCTCATTCGAATGAATTTTATTATGATTCATGGGTAAATCCATATCCGGGAATGCCTAATTAATATGGAGATCCTGTCCACGATGACTTGCTGTCAGGTTGATTGGATTTATGCCTGAGCCATGGGTCAATAATTTATGAGTGGAGCCCCCAACCCCCCCTCTACCCCCCTAAACAGCCACATGTTCCTTTTGTTGTTGCTGTCTGGACGGAAAGAATACACAGAAATATTTCATAAGGTCGTAAGCTGTCGCAAAAAGATGGCTAATAAATAATTTAAGCACTCAAGATTGGACATCTGGCATCTGAAGAGTAGGGCCCGGCCCCGAACCCTTTTGGGCCCCCGAAATAAACACATAAAGCGGCGCCGCCATAAAGGGGCGTGGTGCATGCCGCAAATGCCAACGGCCCCCCCACCCTTGCCCCAAACAAAGCTCATAAAATGTGACCAATAATGAAAATAACGAAGCAAGAAAATGAATGAAATGTTGCCCAGCAAATTACATTTTTGCTCCTCTTTCAGTGAGTGGCCTTTGACATTTTCGCGTTGCTGGAAATCATGAAAGGAGGTCCTTCCCCCCACACCCCCAGGAAAGTGAGTGGAGTTAAAGTTCCGGAGCTGCCACGAAAGTTAAATAATTAGCAAACAAGCAGCAACAGTGAGCCAGCCAGCCATCCATCCATCCAGCCATCCATCAGTATTAAAGATTATTGACTCGTCGACAGAGAAGTCTAGTCTTTGAGGGGGTTCAAGAAATAAACAAGAATTATTCGACTAAGAGTCGCAAGAGTCAACAAATCCTTCAGTTCAAGCATGAACTTTTTTGTCTTAAAGTTTAAATAATTTAAGGAGACTTCCAAGTGGTTGAAGATCTACTTATGCCTGTTTTACAGACTCCACACCCAGTGGCGCTGCTATCCAGCCATTCGTATCTCGTTTATCGACTTATTATTACATCGGCTGTGGCTGTATCTTTTCTAAGCCCAATACTGATAATTCCTCTGGGCTGTTAGCTACCAAATTTAGCTTCCATGGCGATCGAAATATATTTAATCCTTCACAGTTCTTATTCCTAAAAATCAGGGACCGCAAATACGAGGTTTGAATGTAAATTTTACCTAATCAATTTTAAGGAAATTTGTATATTACGGAAACATGGAATACACCAAAATTCATATACTAAACATATTTAACGATATCGGAAAAAATGTATATTTTTTAATTTTTATTAAAGAAATTAAAAAACACTTATTGATCTGATTTTTTAAAAATAAAAATGAGAAATAAAAATAAAATAATAAGAAATAAATAAATAATAATACACAGATAATAATAAATAAATAAATAATAATAAATAAATAAATAATAAAATAATTTAATACACAAATAATAATAAATAAATATATAATAATAACTAAATATGTATATAATAATAAATAAATTTATAACAATAAATAAATAAATAATAATAAATAAATTAATAATAATAAATAAATAAATAATAAAATAATTTAAAAAATAAATAATAATACACAAATAATAATAAATTATTAAATAAATATATATATAATAATATATAAGTATATAATAATAAAAAAAATAAATAATAATCAATAAATAAATAATGATAAATAGTAATAAATAATAATAACTAATAAAATAATAATAAATAATAAAATAAAATAAAAAAAAGGGAAATATAGAGTTATTCAGTGACTTTTATTCCAAAAATCAAAAATTAAAAATGAATTTTAGTGTATTTTTGTTTGAACCAATTAATTTATTATCAAACACACAAAATATTCTTGATCTATGATTCCATACTAAGGCAAGTAAATAACGGAAGTCGTGTTATCTTTACTAACCACCAAATTTGTCTGTGACTTAGACCTTAGGCGACTATTGTCCCCATAAATCCCTTCCAAAGGAACACAGTTTTGGCCCGCATATATTTTTGAATCTTTAAG